AATTCATCACAATTTGTAAAAAAAGTAACTCGTACTAGTCGTAGAATTAAAAAAAAATCGAGTGCTACAACCAGCCGACGTCTTCTCGGTCAGAGATCAGTTGAAGAGACGTTGTGATTGGCTTAGATGATTGTCAATTAGAACATCATTAACATAATTACCCGTTGAAAAATCGACGGGTTCCTGCAGTGTCGATAGAGGGCCATGCAGAATAAACCAGTCGGGGTGATTTCACAGTTACAGGGGATTTCGCGCTAACACCTCCATTTCGCGATATTTTGTATTTTACAGTATTTGAACTACAAAAACAAATTAATCGCCCCGACTGCGCCAGTCTAGGTCTGTGTAAACAAAGAACAATACGCACCGTTGTCATTGTTTGTGTCAAGCCACATATCTAGCTATCCCCATGGCAACTCCTGAGCTGGGCTTTGTTCTGTGGTTTGGTTACGATATCTAATAAATACTAATATTCGGGAATATTTAGCTTGCTGAATTTGTGAGATATCAAAAATATCAAAAATGCCCACATGAAGTAAAAGGCTACAACATGAGGAGAATTCAGAAAAAGTTTAAAATCCGCGACCATAGTTTGGAAATCAAATTAGGTAGAAAAAGAAAAACACCCAGAGAGGAAAAAAATAGACTTTGTAAAAAAAAAAAAAAAAAAAAGCAATAAAAAAGTATTTGAGAATTTGAGAAATTCACTTTATTCTAGGTTGTGAATTGTATGAAGGGGAAAGACATTTTTATTTAAAGAACGTTATATCAAAACAAACTAGGAAAAAGGAAAGACAAAATAACCTTTGCAGTAACAATTGTAGTATTGCATTGGCCGAATATTTAAAAAGTAAAATATACAAAATTGAATAAAAACAAGTTTTTTTTTTTCTGTAATAGTTATTTTTTGTTTTTAATAGTTTCTCGTTATGTATTGTTTGTTTCTGTCTAAGTAATGTATTTTATGTTGTTTCTTCACCATACAGTGCCATCAGATGGTACTTGTTAAAACAAGTTATTATTATATAAACATCTACTTTTAAGTTGTTGCTTACTGCCCTCTTGCACATGTCACGTGACCAGTGCGGGTCCAGTAGCATCACGGTATCAAAGGAAAGGGCAGAACAATATCCTATCCCTGTCATCGTATTCATGGCCCTCGAGCCCGGCCCTCGAGGTAGTACCATGTTATTCACGCCCACTTTGGAAGGACCGTTCGGTCGACGACACGGAGACACATCATAACGTCAAGTTGTTTGAAGTAGGGTATATTAACATGGAGGTAAAACAAGAGTTTAATGACCACACTGTTGCATTTGTATGGTGTCGAGTCGAGAAACTTGCTTGACGTAAAACAATGTTGTCCCGTTCATATGATAACTTCAAGTTAATTGCAATCGTGTGATAGAACACTACTCAAAAGTAAATAATAATAATATAATTTTCCATATTTTTACATAGTATATGTGACATTTTATTTACAATAACGAAAAAGAAAAAAAAATACTGTGTCACTATAATAGTACAAAATGGAGTGAAAATAGCATGTTTTGTCTGTGTTATGTCATTTTACAACTGTTTCATATGGCAAGATAATATCCTTGATATGTTCTAGTAGGATACAGGTGTTATCGGGTTCGAGGTTCGTTGTTCTGTGAAAGTGTCGGATGCAGGTTTGGAGGATAGATCATCGTCAGGTAAACGAGTAACTCTGTCTGAGTTGAATTTGGGTATGATGCTTGGCTTTGACAGTACCTTCTGGGAAACCGACGCACAGGTGAGATTCTACCTGCTCAATCAAAAGTCACACAAGTCGCTGTTTGTCGTTTTTCATTTATAATATAACACACACCCAGAGTTATGCGTCCCAGGGCCTAATTGTACGACAGCACAGAGTGATGAGCCGTTGATGACGGCTGTCCGGCCGTCGCCCTACTCGTCATCCGTCTCTTCGTCTACCGAGTACTTCATACTCGTACAGTTGCATTGTGGGATATATTGTGTTGTCTTGAGATCACTGCGTAATCATGCAAAATAATGTGCGCCCGCAGCGACTGAATTAAAAACAATTTGGGCAGCTATCACCCCTGTGATTGCTCATGCAACGAAAGGAAATACCTTCGTATACTTGTTGGTGTATCTCAGACTAGTGACACATGGTAAAACATTCATATACAGTTTCTTTCAAAGGACTTGTTAATGTCTAGAAGTTTTAAATAATATGAGGTTATTACGAGGATACTGCAAAGTATGCACGAAGACAGTACAGCGGAAGTATCGATCGACGCGCAATCTTATACTCTCTTTTCCTACCCAGGAATACATCATGGGAATGCCGAAACCCAAAACGTTTAGAACAGATTTAGCGAACTTCTTTGTTTGGAGTCCTGTCAAACCCTGGTGTCAGCCATGTCTGTCTTTATTATTAGAGGACGCGTTTTTTTAACACGACAGATATCGAGTTCATTTCCTGAGAAACCTATAAACAAAAGAATATGCAATAACTTGTGAAGATGAAGAACATTTTCTATTGAATTGCCAAAAATATAACACACAAACACAGAGAAAACTTCATCCAAAAAATTATAACACTACTTTCATCCAACAATAAAAATATACACAGATCACATATATACTCTCAAGCAAAGATCCTGGCATAATTATAGAACTTGCCAATTATATTTACACAACAAAAAGATTTATTTAACATTTAAATACTAGTTAAGTTCTTTTGTTTTGTTTTTTGTACAATTCTTACATATATCTTGTTATTTTTTTAAAACTCTTTTTGCTGTACCTATCCTATGTAAATCTTTTTACACGGAGGCAATAAAGGTATTATTATTATAAGACGGCACGCTGTAACTTATAGCGTTACGGTGACAGATTATTGTCAGTGTTTTCTAATGACAAAATGAATTTTCATGGTGGTATATGCAAACCGCTGCTAAATTGTCATTTTATGCATATTATTCACTCCCTATCTCAATAAACAAAGTCACGTGAGCACACTGTGTACTAATGCTAAAACTATTAATTATAGACAGACATAAATTATATGAATGCGCTCCAATACAGTACACGTGTCAAAACGTACCCTACTCGTATTAAATCAACAAAAGCAAAGCGCAATAAATAATTTTTAAAAAAAGGACAAAAGAAAATTACCGGTTACGTGCTCAAGGCGTATTTACCTTTGTTTGTGCAGTGACTTAAACAAACTTATTCAATGACGCAAGTTTTCGTATTTGGGTCAACAAGAAAGGCGTTGTTTGAACCATAGAGGTTTATACCTCCATGTTTAAACACAACAGTGGTATCCACTCTCAACTGCCAGTATACTGACAACGGTTTGAAGTGGAACCCCTGTAGTTCTTACGACTCCACCCTCTGTATAAACAAAAGTGGGCGTAGATCCGGGGCGTAGATACAGTCACGGTTTATAACGTCAATACTTTATTGTTTCTATGATATCTTCTCCCAGTGCACGTTATTTCGTAATGTGTAATTTAATTAAGATAAGATAACAATATGTTCTGTTTGGGGGAACGTAGTCAACTGAAAACGTTGAGGGCGCTAAACACACTTTTAGTACTAGTAATAATCGGAGTTTGTATGTAATGCATTACGTCATTATACCATATTTTCGACAATCAACAAATGTTTGAGTTTTGACCAACTAGCGAATACATCTGATCAAATCTGCTGCACAGTCGCCCAGGTGCATTAACTACAGGCCGCTATTTTTTTTTTCTTCGCATAACTTCACCCTTTGTGTCCCAATTGTTGAATCAAATATCGCTCTTTTGAGACGAATAGCAGCGGAAACTTCGATATTTTGCGATAAATTAAGGACAGTTTTACCATCTTAAGTCACATGAGTGAATACATTCACGTATCAACAAGACAACAAATGACCGACAATATAAGTAGCGCCGCTGTCACGTGGCTCAGGCTGTTTGTTAGAGGTGACTGAAGTGATGCAGCGTTACACAATTACAATTGATCCAATCACAGTCACGGTCCTTCTATCCAACTTATCCATTATTTGCAGCGATACGTCCCACACTGTGGTAGATAGTGGGTTATCACGTTCCATCAATACGGGGCCAGTGCCCGTGGTAGGCTGTTCAATTATCAGTAAAATCGGACTCTGATGTATTATTGGGTTCATGACCCATTTCGTGTCCGGTCTATCTGGATATTTGAGGGGTGGTTTAGACGGAGGGGGCGATTTCAACCGTAGTGGAGATTAGCCGCTAGCAACGCTATTTCCAGTTACACAATAATTGCTTGTAGTTGGATTCCAACGTTGCATCGCAACGCTACACGCTACACTGCCCCCCCCCCCACACACACACACACACCATGGACTCTACGTTGCATAATTCCGTAGTCAGAAAACCCACTTTATTGGTATTTGTATGTACTTTCAGTCGGCATACAGTGTATCACATCATACAACGTTTTGTAAAATTTTCTAAAAAAACGAATGAGTAAATGAATGTGTACTGGAATAACCTATGCCAGTTTGTTGGCGAGTAAAACAATATTCGGTGGCGCCAAAAGCCCACGCTTTTGGCCAGTCTTGCTAACACATCTAAATATCCACGATAACATAGGTAACGGTAGTGTGCATCGCATTTCACACATTTTGACACAATCAAGGATTTGGCAACCCCTTATGGGCATTGAGTTTCACGCAGACAAATAATTTAATATTCCCTACAAGTTTCAACGCACACAGTCATAATAGTCGAATAGTATTACACATATTCTCACAGCTTACTTCTATGCTGTCCAGCGTACACATGCATTATGTTGGCGATTCCCGCCACTCATTGCCACAAGTCTGCAAATAAAATTTTGACCGATTCGGAAAAAAACATGCCATGACCCTCTGGTTATTTTAATATAAAGAGGTAAATATTGACGACATATCCTAATTTCCATCACCATCCGTAAAGGTGTCAATCGGGAGATAGGTACCCCGTACAGTCGCTATTCAACTTTATTACGTGTACAATGTGCGCCATTTCTGCGTCAATCGGAATACCAGATAGATCTCAAATTGGTAACGCTCTCGTTGCCCTATAGTGTTCCGCAAACAGTACTGACACACATTGGTTCAGTCTGTCAGAAAGATATATTAATAATGGAATGTTCGATTGAAATGAAATATTGCATATACGGCAATAAATCATTCACCCGCTCAAAGTTAATTTATGCGAAAATGTAAAATTTGGAGAGAAAAATCGCCGAGATAAGTCATTTTAAAAATCGCACTTATCTGCAATACGACTATATGTACTGGTACTATGACACACTTCATCGATGATTGGTCGTCGATTTACAGGCATTTAATTGAAATTGTAGACGATCTTTTATTTAAAATGTCAACATTTTAGCACAATTCCCAGTCGTTTCTAATGTGCCAGACAGAACTGTATAACTCTAATCGAAAACCAAACATCACTACAGTAGCTCAGATTTAGTATCACAATAAACAGTTGACAAAATAAGAACCCCCTTGGATGAGACCCTGGGGCATAGTCTGGTATGTTTACGAACGACATTACCGACTGTTTACACATACTAGTATTAGCATGCTCGCGTTTTGACCACCGTCCCATTCACACTGACACATATATAGCATTAATGTTACTCCCACGGTTGTTTCCGGCGAAGGTTATACCCCCACTGTCAGACTCAAATCAACGACTTTATCAGGCTTCGCTTCATACGTGTTGGGAACATAAGTTTTACTCGATACACCTCCGTTTGGATGTTTACTGAATTTACAGAATAAAGAACTCATTACCGGTGATATGTTTATATACAAAGTAATAACAAAAAGGAATACGCGCAAATTTGAGGTTTGAGTAGTTTGAGACAGGCTGGTCAGACCACATGTACGCAGATTCATTTGAAGTACTGGCTAGTTTCGAACTCCGACGCAGTATTTCGACTACAATAGACATTTCATGATGCATGTTACACGGCACATAGAGCACAAACAAACGTGACACCGGGGTTAAGACCGTCTATTCACCGCCCCAAAATTCAATTGCCTGCGAATGACCTACAATCGGGTGTGGTCACCAATGTGGATTGGGAACATTGTGTCTGGGAATAGCACATTGTAATTGAATTGGTGTTACATTGACTTTATCTTACGTTGGCAACCGAAGATTGGGAATGACAAATAGCACAACACAAGGTGAATCTGGCCATCATTTTGATTTGGCAACAGAATATTCTATACAAATAACTTATATCAGCAGATACCTCCGACCATGAATGAATTCAATAGTATTTTTTCAATTGTCAACATATTTCTTTGTGTGTTACAAAATAAGCCGTATTTGCCTTTCAAAGAAACATACCAAATCGGAATTCAACCATTTGTGATTCACAATCGTTCTATTGTAAAAAAAAATAAAATAAAAGCGAAAGTCGACTTAAATGTATTTCTGATGAAATATGTAACTTTTGTTTCCAAAAAGTTATGAATCTAAAACAATGCTGTAAAAATTTGATTGTACCTCTAAAATTTGGTGACGAGACGTCCAAGTCGTTCTGCAACCCATTGATTCTCACGCTCCCTGGGAAAAAGTGGTTCCGCCCACGTGTTACAAGGTTATCCGTTCACCTCTGTTACAAACACTGTCCCTCCTTGTCCTTTCATGTAAGTTGA